ATTTTCGATTTAATTGGCTGAACAAATATGCATGATCGGGATCATCATTTCCTTATTTGGGACGTTCCTACCTGTATGCGATTAGATGATTGGCACCGTATACTTATCGTTATCGGTTTTGGGAGGGTATACTGTAAATCTTACCTCTCAAACTGACCCTTAACCCTAAAAAATACACCTTGTATTTAGATGCAACTGAATTTTGATAATCATAATTGCAATATTATCAACCAATCACATAAAATAAGGAGATAGAATTTTTTCAAAAAAAATTAAGAATGGATACTAAAGAACACAAAGCTCATAGGCCACGTCAATCTGGCGCAAAGAAAGATAAAAAAACAAAGAAACAGCAAAAAATTGAAGAAAAAAATCCAAAGGTATTTTAGCAAATATCAATTGTAAACTATATCTTTACTGATTAACTAATTTGAACTTAGGCTTTCGCACCAGTATCTGGAAGAAAAGCTGAAAAACTTGCAAGGCGCAAACAAGAATTAATCCAAAAGAAGCTCCATGTTCCACTCGTAGATCGAACACCAGTAGAGCCACCTCCGATTATTGTTTCGGTAGTTGGACCACCTCAAGTAGGTTCATATGTGGGGTCGACAGACAAATTGTACACAATCCATTTAATCTTTTAAAACTAAAAAATAGGACTATATTGAAAATTATTAGACTGGCAAATCGACGTTAATAAAATCCCTTGTAAAACGATATACTAAGCACAATCTTACAGAAATCAAGGGACCTATTACAGTCGTTAGTGGTAATTTTTTTTTTTTTTTTTTTTTACTGTAATTTATTAAACGTTACATCCTTCTTACACTTTCCTTGTTAACATCTTAAAGGCAAAAAAAGGAGGATAACATTTATTGAATGCGCGAATGATATGAATTGCATGATCGATATTGCAAAAATAACAGATTTAGTGTTATTATTGATTGATGCAAGTTTTGGATTTGAAATGGTAAAAATGTGGAATTTTAAAACTTTTTAATTTTAACCGTGATTCAGCATTCTCTAAATGATTTATCCTAAATTCCTTATAGGAGACTTTTGAATTTTTGAACATACTGCAGGTTCATGGGTTTCCAAAGGTCATGGGAGTTCTTACACATCTGGACAAATTCAAAAATAACAAGACGCTAAAATCAACTAAAAAGCGATTAAAGCATCGTTTCTGGACAGAGATTTATCAAGGTGCAAAGCTTTTTTATCTTTCCGGAATAATAAATGGTCGATATCCGAACCAAGAAATCCAGAATTTATCAAGATTTATTTCTGTAATGAAATTTCGTCCTTTAATATGGAGAAATACACATCCATATTTGGTTGCTGATCGTGTAGAGGATTTAACCGATCCTGAAGAAGTCCGGCAGAATCCAGTGTGTGATCGTACTGTAACTTTGTACGGATATCTGCGGGGAACAAACATGAAACAAAACATGAAGGTATAGCCCAAATTAATATTGGTTTATTTTTATTTATTTATTTATTTTGCAATCCTAATGCGGTTAAAATATTGTCCTTTGTAAAGGTACATATCCCTGGCGCTGGCGATCAATATTTGGATGATGTTTCAATTCTTCCCGATCCATGTCCATTACCTGATAAAGCCCGAAAGAGTTTAAGCGAAAAGCAAAAACTCATTTATGCCCCAATGTCGGATGTCGGTGGGATTATGTACGACAAAGATGCAGTATATATTAATATTCCAGGGAGTTTCACAAAGACTGATGATAATGAAGGTTGTTGGAAATAATATTTTGATTTACTTATATTTCAATATTTTGAACATTTTTAACGTATGATATCCAACAGAATCCGAGAAGGGGCCAGGCGAAAAGATGGTGATTAGTTTGCAAAATAAATAAATAAATAAAAATAAACCAATATTGCAAGATGCTTCCGACACACTTGCATCTAAATTACAAGAAGCATCGCTTTCGATTTTTGCAAATTCTGTCCCTTTAAAAGCTTCTGATTTGAATGAAAAGTTTTACGATGGTATGAGATTACACAATAATGATAATAATATCATGATTCGTGGATTTAACAATAATTTCCTAATTTGCTCAGAATCAACTGAAAATAATAAATCGGAACGTACTCGACGAAGGGTAACGTTTAATGATGAAAATGATGAAAATTATATGAATGAAGAAGATTCATCGGTAGAAAACAATAGTGAGAGCGCTTCTTTTAATGATGATGATAGTGATGACGACGATGATGTAAACGATGATAATGAATTAAATGAATCTGATAGAAGAGCAGCACTGACCAAGTATGAAGTTGGAGATTTAGAAGGCAATATCAATAAAGAAATTGCATTTGTTGAAAGTGATAGTGATATAAGTGCTGAAAATGAAGAGTTGGATGAGAATGGGTCTGACCTTGACGGAGCATTAAGATGGAAATCTAATTTAACAAATAAAGCAGAAAATATGTTCAATGCAAATCGTAGAGTAAATATTATGCAATTAATTTATGGCGAAAAGACGCCCGATGAAGTAATATATAATAATCTTTCAAATTCAGCTCGGGATGCGATGAATAAAAATGATGTGCATCCTCTTAAATCTGAAGATTTCTTTAGACTTGCAAATAATGACACTGGGGATACCAAGATTTTGAAGGCAATTGACTCTTCTAAATCATGCTTTGAAAATGAGAACCTTGATGAATGGGATGATGAAACGGTTAATATTTATGGTTTATGGTTTATGGTTTATGCATTTAGTTTAAATATGCAAAACATCCAATAAACTGTACTTTTCTTTTTTTTTTGATTAAATTATTATTAGGTGCTCGAATCTATAAGAAATAGATTTATTACAGGAAGTCTTGAAGATGAAAATCCTACTGAGTTGAATAATTCAAATGACAATGAAGATGAAGAAGTATGTGGTGATTTTGAAGACCTTGAGACTGGTGAAGCTGTAAAAGCGATGCAATCGGAAGAAACAAAAGAAGAACTTGAGCAAGAAGTTCTTACTCAAAAACGGATTTTACTAAAGAAAAAGTTTGATGCAGAATATGATAACAAAGATGATGAACCTAAAGCTGATTTTTATGATGAATTGAAAGAAGGAATTTCCAAGCAATTACAACTGAATCGTGAAGAATTTGATGATGATGATCCACATACTAGAGTAATGGTTGAGGGTTTTCGCCCAGGAACTTATGTTCGAATTTTATTAAAAGGAATGCCTTGTGAATTTGTCAAATACTTTGACCCAGTGTACCCAGTAATTGTTGGAGGGCTGCTAACTACCGAAGAGAATTTAGGATTTATCCAGGTTTGTCATATAATGAATATAATTCTTATTATTAATATTTGACACGAATATTTATCGCAACTATATAACCATATTTTAGGTTCGCATCAAACGTCACAGGTGGCATAAAAAAATCCTAAAGAACAAGGACCCACTCATATTTTCTCTTGGTTGGAGACGTTTTCAATCGATACCCATTTATTCTTTGAATGATAACACGAGAAACAGAATGCTAAAATATACACCAGAACATATGCATTGTATAGCAACCATATATGGTATATATTATATATTGTTTATCGCTGGATTTTTTACATCAATTTTTTAATATTGTATATTTGATTTTTATTAGGACCTATTCATCCCCCAAACACCGGCTTTTGTGCGACACAATCTGTATCAAGAGACAACATAGTAAGTTCTTAATAAACAGAAATAGATTTGTCTTTTTCATTTCGAATTGATCGCAATATTCGCAACTTAATATTTTTTAGGCGGGATTTCGCATAAGTGCTACTGGAACAGTTCTTGACATTAATCATTCGTTTGAGATTGTTAAAAAATTAAAACTTGTTGGTACGCCTTACAAGATATTCAAAAATACTGCTTTCATAAAGGATATGTTTACTTCAGCATTGGAAGTAGCGAAATTCGAAGGTGCTGCAATTAGAACTGTGTCGGGCATTCGTGGACAAGTAAAAAAACCATTATCGGTGAGTGGATACTGATCATCAATTATTCCAAATGCTTTTTACTAATTAAATTTGCTTCATATAGAAGCCGGAAGGACATTTCAGAGCTACTTTTGAAGATAAAATTCTAATGAGCGGTAAATATATATTGACTTATTGATTATATGATGTTTTTGTTTGCTAATTCGCATCATATTAGATATCGTGTTTCTCCGAGCTTGGTATCCCGTTACGCCAAAAAAATTTTATAATCCTGTTACGTCACTGCTGCTGTCGACGAAAACAAAGTGGCAAGGCATGCGTTTGACAGGTGAAATTCGAAGAGATTTAAATATTAAAACATCTATTAACCCCGAATCCCAATATCGAGTAAGTATTGCATTATTTGTTTTAGCGTTCATAATATGACAGTATATTTTAATGATATGATTGACAATAGAAAATTGAACGGGCAAGTCGTCGTTTCAATCCGCTTCACATTTCAAAGTCATTACAAGCTGGATTACCATTTGCCTCTAAGCCGAAATTGTTGAAAAAACGAACTAGGCCGACATACATGCAAAAACGTGCCGTAGTTTTAGAACCACAAGAGAAGAAAATATATACGCTTATGCAACAAATTCAAACATTAAAGAAAGAAAAAGATAGAAAACGTAAAGTAAAACAATCGGAAAGACGAGAAGTACATGACAAAAAATCTGCAAAACAAGAGGCGCTCTTGGCAGAAAAAGAAAAGAGAGAGAGAAAAGAATATTTTAGAAAGGAAGGCTTAGCACAAAAAAGGGTCAATAATTCTTCAGATGAACATAAATCTAAAAAAGCCAAAATTTAATTAGCTCTATTTGCTGTAGAGTTTCGGGTCACCCGTGTCACAAAACGGTTCAACCAGGTCAAAAATTTACAACTTGGGTCAAAACGGTTGAATATGTAACCTCTAACAATCTGTTACTAATACACAGAAAACA